AATTCGACAATAGTTGGTAGACTGTGACAGTGGTTTGAGCTTTCCCCTCTCAGAACGAAGGTCGTTGGTCTGACTCCCAGACTACATGGGGCCTTTTGCATGTTCTCCTTGTGCAGGTTTCTCCCTGGTGCTCTGTTTTTCTCTTAGTAAGTACTAAAACATGTACATTGGAACTATGAGAACTACTCTGGAGCTAATTCTAGTCCATTTACAGCAATACATATACATTATAATTTAAATGTATGTGTAATTAATAGAAGAATATAGAGATCTAACATAAGATTATCTCTATATTTCAGAGCAATATTGATACTTGTAAATTTATTATTGCAGCCTTGGTAATAAATGTAATTTTATTATTTTCTTTGGCCTTTGTTTTCACAAAATATAGATAATGTAATATGGTGAAATATTATTAGCTCTCACCAAACACAGATACTTGCTGGGATTCTAGCATTGGAGACACTGATAACGTATGGTTTAGTTTATCATTTGCATGCTGCATACCTAAACATTTCATAATGATACATTTTTATTAGACTGGTCGCTTCATAATAGCTAGCTCCTTTCTCCCTGAATCTCTGAGTCCTTGCATGAATGAGGGTTTTCAACAATATAGCATCAATTATAAACAGGAGACCATGTTTGATATAATGCATGCATATTTGGTATATGTTTGTAAGCTTTCGACCAGACATTGGTCAGACAACAGGAGGGAAGCCCCAGCATCATTATCAGGCCCATCTGCCAGGGAGACTTGGCTTATTTTCTTGATTTACAAAGATAAGAACATTATTCTTGTAATTGTCTTGTTATTTCTGGCTGTTTTATTTGTTTGTTTCATATTATGTCATTTTAAACTTGTTCTCTCTGTTCCAATGTCAGTCTATTTTTTTATTCTATAGTCCCTTGATGATTGTATATAAATGAACAAATAAGCAGCTTGATTTGAACTTCATTGATTTTTATTGACCTCACTTTGTAAACTCTGAGGACAAGTCAACATTCACAGTATGTTTTTTAACTTCTTTGCTTTGTAAGATAAGATAAACTGGTATGTGGGTAGAAACAATGCCAGCAATTGAAAGACACTCAAATCTGCATCTTCTGTTATTGAGTCAAGAGCAGTCTGTTGGTGTTCTGTGGTTTTCTCTCCAGTGCAGTCTTTCCTGAATGTGTAGCCATTCCTTACACAATGACGTGACTGTGTCCCCTTGCTCAGGGAGGGTAGGTGGGGAAAACGGAATGGCAATGTATGCTCTAGTCTGCCACCCAGAGTCCACCCAGATTTAAGCTGTGTAGCGTCACTGTCAGACAGACCCCTGTACACCTCCCCCACCCCGCTCTGCCCTCACGAGCTGGTAGACATGCTGCGGCATAATGTCTGATGCCCATTAAATGAAGTGATGTTGATAAAGAAATTGTATGTTTTGTAGAAAATGTCTGATTGTACTAGTACTCTTGTAATTAGGAAATATTTTTGTGACACTCCTCTTCCTTTCCCCTCCTCAAAGCTTTCGTTCGAGGTTTATTTAGGAAGTGCACCAAGAAGGGAGAGAATCTGGCCGGGCAGGGTGACTGGGCACAGGGAATGGGTGGGTTGTGCATTTTCTTTTCTTTTTTTTCTGTGTGGCTGTTTCTTTAAGGTGAAAGACAGCACTTCAAGAGGAAGTAGGAGGAGCAGACTGAGGCAACCACAGTGCAGTGGCTTGGATTTAGACAAGAATGCAGCTTTACTGTACTTGTTTTTTCCAACTCTTAATAATCATAGTGCACTGAGCTTCAGCCAGACCACTATGCACGCTTCTCTCATCTAGCTTTATAAAGGAATGCTGGGATGGACTTAGACAGGGTCTAAATCACCCTGTTTGTTGTGTTTGAGTGTGTATGTGCATTCCATTTCAGTGATGGCAAGATTCCCTAGATGAACTAGAGACCAACCTAGTAGAGAAGGGAACAGGCTCAAAGGAGTGTGTACTAGCTCTAAATACTGGGTCCCTTACTTGAGGGAAGCAATTTGTCTTTTCAAGCAGTAAGGGATAGAACTTTTTAGTTTTTGTATTTGCTGAAGGCACAAGGATGGCAAGGAAACGCTAACTCAAGTCTCTGTAAGGTCACTTTTGTCAGAAGTGAGTATAGGTTTCTAGTAGAAGTGAATCTAGTATGATACACAACACACCGTAGCAGGTGGAATTAGGTTATTATTATTGCTCATTATTGGGTTAAAATGTAAGTGCCATTTCACAAATGCCATGTCTATACCATATTTCTTCTGATCTGCCTTTGTTTGACCAGAGCGCAGGAGCTGTGGAGGTGTGACCTCCAGCCTATTTTGTCTCAGCATCTGTCCCTCTCACTAATCCCGCTTATCAACGGAGCTCTGGGTATCAGGGGCAGCCACACTGACACACATGCTGTCTTGATTCAAATCCATAAATGTACAAACAAATGTTGCTTATCTTTTGATGGCATAAGTAATATTCCCGTATTTTAATTGTCTTTATCCCTGGAAGAATAGCTACTGCTTTTATATAAGTGTATATATACTTATTTGTATATAAAAATATATATAAACAAACTGCTGTTGGACCAAGGAAGACTATTAAGTGGTATACAGTGCCCTCAACATGAACCATTTGTCTCGTAGCAACCGCAAATGTGAAGATAAAGTTACGTTGAATGTGGTCCCCGCTGTCCTCTTGTGTTTTTAAATTTGCAACTTGTTAATTTTTAGTGTATACAGGCTTGTAAAAAATGTGTTTCATAATTTCCAACTCAACCTGTGTCCAACTGAATTAAAGTGGACCAGGTGAACAACATGTGGTAGGGTCAAACCCAGGAGTTCATTTTATTATAATGATAATAATAATGCATTGTTTTTATAAAGTGCTTTTCTGGACACTCAAACGCTTCACATGTAATTCTTTCACTTCATACACGGTGGTAAATTACTATGTTAGCCACAGCTGCCCTGGGGCACATAGACGCAATGCACTCACACGTGGCACGCGGCGGCACGGTGGCTGAGTGGATAGCACTCTCGCCTCTCAGCAAGAAGGTCCTGGGTTCGAATCCCAGTTGGACCAGGGCCTTTCTGAGTGGAGTTTGCATGTTCTCCCCGTGTCTGCGTAGGTTTCCTCCGGGTGCTCCGGTTTCCCCTACCACTAAAAATATGTACAATAGGTCTGGCATGTGCCTCCTGTACTGGCCCCGCTCCCAAAAATAACAATTGTAAACCGCTTTGAGACTCCGATGTGCAGTGAAAAGGCGGTATATAAATTACTACTTACTTACTTACTTACTACGTGCCATCTGCCCCTCTTATCACCACCAACCATTCACGCACAGCATTGCAAGAAGACAGTTGTTAGTAAAATGTATATACAGCAGAGAGAATTTGCCAATATATGATTTGGACAAAGCTGAGATAAGATACACAAGCTGAAAAGTATAGAATTGGCCCTAAATTGTATGAAGACTGATATCTCAAAGGTTTTATGGACTTGGCACTTGTACTAATAATTTAATACAGTGAATAAAAGTAAAAGGAAGGAAACCTAAATCACGGTCTAAAAGGGACCAAATGACCCCGGGCTACTTAACCTAGGAAAGATCATCAAAATTCATCAACATTTTTTTTAGTATACCTTCTTCAAATAGTGGTTAAGGAAGAAGTCTTGATTTCTATGCAAGATAATGCTCCAACTCTTCAATTCACTTATTATTGCTTTATTAACGGTTTTATTTTTTTGGTTGCATTAATGTCTTGACTTTATTTTAGTGGCCTTTGGTTGCCATGAGTGTTGTAAAGGGCTAAATAAAATGTGATTGAATGATGCATCAGTATTTGTGTGGCTTGTCAAAAACTGCCTAAAGGATAGTAAACACTGCTCTGCACACCTGACTTCAACCCAATCAAGAATTTTCGAGCTACAAATAACGACTTTTTATGGGGGGGTGCACAATGTTTCAATTGTTATCAAGAAACTGACTGCTGATTCAGTGGATGGAAGGCTTGTATCGGTTTTTGGAAATGTGGATGGTTGTTTTGTAGATATATTTTGTGTCTGTTGTACTTGTCATCAAATATGTTCAAAGTTGTATATAGTTTTCTCTCTTGACTGATGATTACGGAAAAATGTTTTTCTGTGTCACTCAACAACTGTTTTATCAATTATTTTCATATCACAAAACATTCTAAAAGGTTGACACAATAATAAAACATATTTTCACCTATTATTTGGATAGTTAAAAAGAAACAGGTCCCCCCGACAACAAATATTCTAAAAAAGGAAACTTGCATGATGAACCTATTGATAAATCTTATCTCTGTGCATATACTGTTTGAGGTGGTTCATGTTTTAAAAAGTTTTACTGTTCAGATTTACTGATTTACCTTCAGTGATGTACCAAAAGCTGATTCCTGAATCAGGAGGGTGCATGCTTGTTGCACTGCTGTTTAGAATTATAGTTTTTTTTTCTGAGCAGCTGCTGTTCCTATTGCTGATTTTAATTGATCCATTGTTATCAAAAAGCAGCACAAACTCTTTCCTTTCTGCTCCTTTTATCCTCAATGTTCCTTATGGTTTACCACAAGATATGATCAATGATATTGCAGGACTAGGAAGAGGGGGTATTCCACCAGATTCAGGTGTAGAAACTGTCAACTTGAAGGAAAAATGGCCTCTGCTGCTCTCTTGCTTTCCCTCTTGTGTACTCTTGCGCCCCTGTGTGGATGATTTGTTGTAGTGCAGCATGTGATTCAGGCCAATACTGTGCTCCCTTCACAATAACTGCTATGTATTTTCAAATCTTAAGCTAAACTTTGGCATAACAAGTAATGTGAACATACATGTATCACAATTTATTCCTTTATTTCTTTTCAGGCCTTGTGGATGCACTTAGATGTCTGCAATGACTGCTGTGGCTGGTATGCCTCAGTGTTTCGGACTGCCATTCTCTGGACTCAGTAGGACAAGGACTGATCAGCAGAGAACGTCATGAGCATAGTTGTTCCAGTTGGGGTGGACACAGCTGACACCTCATACCTGGACATGGCTGCTGGCTCAGAGTAAGTAATGCTCTCACACTTACACATTACACTTACGCATTAGTGTTACCATTATAACCAGTTTCATGGGTAGCACTATGAAGAGGCTGCCCCTTTTAGAAATAACTATGCGCTTTTATATGATACAAGTTATGAGCACATCTTACTGCGCAATTGTGCAAACAGCCATAGCAACAAGCCCCCTATTGCTCCGCCTCTTGATTTCCCATAGCCTTGTCAAGGGCACAGCCGTGGCCTTTTCTCGACAAACAAATGAAGCAAAAGGTTCTCATCTGACTAAAGAGCTCCAACGTCATCAGCAGCAGAGGCCCTTGTCTCTTTAAATGTAGAGCCCGCCCTGCTGCATGTCAGTTTGTGTTGCCATAGTATCTGCTCCCCCTGTTGCCATGGTCACTGCCCTGAGTGACAGTTGGCCATTGCATAAAACGGTCTTAAACAGTCTCTCTGGCTGTGCTACACTGATACTTGTAAGATGATGTAGCTGCTGTGTTCAGAGGCAGAAGAAAGGGGCTTCACCTGCTGGAGCAGCTCTTCACATGGCCTCAGTGAAGCCCTCTTCCTCCCTGGAGTCTGCAGCAGTGTGAGCAGCTGTTGGCTAATGCGGTGTGCACGTCCACACTCTGCACACACATGCTTTTGGTTGCTATGGCAGCCAGTGGGATATCAGCGTAGTCGAGGCGTTGCCTCTGGGTCTCCGCTGCTCTTTTTCTACTGTCCACAGCATTCATTTTGGATGTCTTATCATTATTCAAAGTGGTTTTGTCAAATTATGTCTTAAAATAATTTGCAAGAAATACTATTATAGAATATATAGTTATATTACATAACTCAAAGTGTGCCTGTGTTTAGGTACTTTAAGTGTATATATACATTTTTAAAGCACCATAAAACATTTTTACATGTATTTTATTTGAGTGTTGTATGAGCTATTTATTTTACAAGAAACTGGTTAATGTACACTGATGAACACACACCCCTTCTGGGCCCGCCTTCAAACTTCATGTTTTCAGGACGTTAGCAGCAGCAGTACAGAGGAAGTGTTGCATGTTGCACTCACATTGGGCACACATTTTAAACTGAAACGATTTTAAGCTGAAGAAAAGAGGTACTATATATTTTTCATTTTCATTATGTAGATTGAGCGAGAGTATTTCTTATTATATTCTGCATAATGAAATTGTCTTCTGGTAGACAAATCATTATGATTACTGACGTAGTTTGACTAACATTTATGACCGAAGAATAGAAAGTAAATGTATAGATGTCTTGTTTGATAGAAGTAAGACATGTTTAAATTGACTTCAAATAAACATGATGCCTATTTGTTGGAAATGTTTTGTCAATGGAGTTTTTCTCCATTGACAGACCATGAAACAAAGCACTCGTGTCTAAACTTCATAGATAATAAATCTGTATTTATGACTGAGCTCAACAATCTCTTGTTCTTTTATCATCCCAGACACATTGACTTTTTTACTCTCTACTCTTACGCTGCAGAGTACTGGTTTTTAAAAGAGTAGATTAGTCATGCTGTTATGGGCGGGCTGGTCTTAACGGCCAACAGCCGTCTCATGCTGGTGAAAGCAGACATACTGGTTCCTTTTGAATTTACCTGATAGTGCAGTTTTATGGTGCACTATCAGGTCCCGATTTCAAGTTCATATTCTTATTTTTCTAGACACTCGGACTCAAATGTACAATATATTGTGGTTGCTCTGTCTAAAGTTGTATTCCTGTTTTATTTTACTAGACCAGAATCGGTGGAGGCCAGCCCTGTAGTGGTGGAGAAGTCCAGCTACCCCCACCAAATATACAGCAGTAGTTCTCATCATTCCCAAAGTTATATTGGTCTGCCCTATGCTGTAAGTCAAATTCAGTAAAAAAAATAAATATTTTTTTTCCCACATTGCTCATGTGAATAACCAGTTATTATCTTGATCAGGACCATAACTATGGAGCAAGGCCCCCACCCACTCCACCAGCTTCGCCTCCCCCCTCGATGCTGATTCAACAGGGAGATGGGCGTTTGTTTATGCCTGGTGGTCAAGATGAAGCATCCAGGGGCACCACGTTAAGCACCTCAGAAGATGGCAGCTATGGGGCAGACATTACCCGCTGCATCTGTGGGTTCACCCATGATGATGGTTACATGATCTGTTGTGACAAATGCAGGTAAGGAGAAAAATACATTGCATTAGGAATTAACATATTTGTATAAAAGTCCTCACAGATTATGCTAACACTTGTCCAAAGTAGAGAACATGAAAACAAGTTCACGCTGTCATCTAGCCAACCTCAGCTCTGCTAATACACCCATGCCAGATATCATACAGCCTCTGAAATTCATTATTGAGCGAGAAATAAGTGTTGTCTTTCAGGTAACTTTTCTGAATGTAAAACTCAATATTTTCATATCTGATTCGCCCAAAATCTGTAATGGATGGAATGCGTCATGGCATCTGTTCCAAACAACATTATCAGTTGTTCCCTAAACAACCTTTTTAAGCCTATTTGAATAAATTGTGTTTTTTTTTTTTTTTTTTCAGTGCATGGCAGCACATTGACTGCATGGGTATCGATAGACAGAACATTCCTGAGACTTACTTGTGTGAACGCTGCCAACCACGTCACCTGGACCGCGAGAGGGCCATTCTGCTACAAACGAGAAAGCGAGAGTGTTTGTCAGGTGAGCAAGACACCACATTCCTTAATCTAGGATTTAAAGTTCAACGCTATGTACTTGTCGATTCAATCTCACCACTGATCGACGTGGCTTTGACAGCCGCTGCATCCTCGAGAGTCCCCGCGTACGGCACACAGGACGCATACAGAGGCCCTCGCACACACGATGGGTCGTTCCCTGCTGGTGCACTTCTTACATGTGAGAGTGCACACCTTGTTTCCCGCAGCCTAGCTTTTGGTCTTGCTCACTTTCAGCTGGTACACACAAAACTCGGGTCCTCTATGAAATCACCTGCGTCACCACGTAAACAAAAATGATTATTCCAGTTCATGTATCATGTGTCCTCATGATGAAGAAGAGGCTTTAGAGTTAATTCATAGTCTCAAGACTCAAATTTAGTCTTAAATGACACATGTGCTTATGTATTGAAGAATTGCACTACATCTGAGTCGTGAATGCAGTGCAAAGTCTAGTCCAATGTGGAGAGTAGACTTGTAATAGTAGTATTTTATCACTGATGCTGTTCACAGATATGCAGAGTTGTTGTATTTTTTATTTTTTCAATTTGAAGTAGTTTTTTGTGAACATTCTGAGTGCCCACTTTCCATCATTACCTGCTTTACACTGACACCTGCTGGACAACTACTAGAATATAAAAAATGTTTTTGACCATAGACCAGCATAATAGAATTTCCTATTACTGTATAATCCTGAACTTGTAAGTTTTCCATTCCAGACGGGGATACCAGTGCAACAGAAAGTGGAGATGAGGTTCCCCTAGAGCTCTACTCAACGTTTCAACATATGCCCACTATCAGCGCCCTGACCACTGGACGTCTTGGTAACAAACCAATTGATAAAAAACGCAAAAAGAGTGGTGATAGGGAACCTCCAGCATCATCGGCCAAGGCAAAAAAGGTCAGGTCAATTGATTGGTTATTGCATTTGTAACTAACCTCCAAGGTTATTTGAAATGTTATCTTTGTCTATTGTATATGCTGCAGGCTTTTAGGGAGGGATCCAGAAAATCCTCCAGAGTAAAGGTAAAAATAAATTTTCTTACCAATTGCAACCATTTTCATACTCCTACATTTGAAAAACTAAAGAGATGATTGCACATTTAGGGCGCTGCCCCGGACCAGGACCCGGCAGAGATCCCTTCACTCTGGGAAAACAAAATCAAGACTTGGATGGAGCGTTATGAAGAAGCCAGCAGCAATCAGTATAGTGAAGATGTTCAGGTTCTGTTGCGTGTAAAAGAGCAAGGTGACGGAAAGAGCCTTGCTTACAACACACACCCAGCCTCGTTCAAGCCCCCTGTGGAGGTAGAGCCCTTTATATGCAATGTGTATGCTTCTTAACAGCCTCAAATTCCCTCATGTTTCCAGATTTAACAACTTCCTTTTCCTTTTTTAGAGTCATGTTCAAAAGAATAAAAAAATCCTCAAGGCAGTGCGAGATCTTGCACCAGACTCTCTCATCATCGAGTACAGGGGCAAATTTATGCTAAGGCAGCAGTTTGAAGCTAATGGATACTTTTTTAAAAGGTGGGTTTTTAGTCTTTGTGTAGAAGAATAAATATCTGAACTTACCCTAATAACAAAAGAAAAAAATAATTTCATTGCAGGCCATACCCTTTTGTATTATTTTATTCCAAGTTTGATGGTCTGGAGATGTGTGTAGATGCTCGTAGTTTTGGTAATGAGGCGCGCTTCATTCGGCGTTCCTGCACTCCCAATGCTGAGGTATGTCTGCATCTACAAGATATATTTTAGATACAAAAAGTAACTACATTTTCTATTAGATTAGATTCAACTTGTTAGAAAGTCAAAAAAAGGAAATGTTTGGCATCTCACCAGAAGCTTATTAGGGCAAACATCTGCTAATATTTCTCATCTCATCTTATTTACAACACGGATAAAAGTATATGCATATATGTGAGACTGTACATGGCTGCTTTTGCTACTTTATATATTAAATACATTACATTCAAGTTATGATTTGCATTAAATGTGTCTTTTTTTTATCAGGTGCGGCATGTCATTGAGGATGGTATGCTGCATTTATACATCTACTCAGTGCGGCATATTACCAAAGGCACAGAGATCACAATAGGATTTGATTTTGATTTTGGCAGCTGGTACGTAGAATTTTCATTTCACCTTTCTCGGAAGTGTCACACCTGACCAGTCTTTGCTCTTTGTGTGCAGTAAGTACAAAGTGGACTGTGCTTGTGTGAAGGGGAACCCCGAGTGCCCTGTGCTGAAGCATAACCTGGAGCCCACCGAAAACCTGAACTCAGGTGGCCGGAGGCGCGGCAGTCGAAAAGACAGAGACTCTCAAGACGACCTTGGTCAGAATCAAAATCTGTCTCTTGATGGTGAAATCAAGGGGAAAAGCGTGGGCGATAACAAACAAAGGAAGCTGTCACCTCTCCGCCTTTCCATCTCAAACAATCAGGCAAGAACACAATGCCAACATTCAACTAATACCATTTGTCCCAAGAGGATTACTTTTACATGCCTTTTGTCATATTTTTGTTTCGTCAACTTTTTGGACACACTCTGAAGCTCCTATCCCCATTATTCCTTTCCACAGAGATTACAGGTTTATTATCAAAGTAGTAAGTTCTGGACCAAAGTCAATCTTTAACCTTTTGCTGAAAAAGGGGCTCTCCTTAACTGGGGCTGCAACAAACAATGAAGAAGCAATACAGTAGTATCAATTGTATTTGGATTGTACATGTATATAAAATAGAAATACAAGTATGTGTGTATATATATATATACATATACATATATATATATATATATATATATATATATATATATATATATATATATATGTATATGTATATGTATAATATATATTATACATATATATATATATATATATATATATACATGTATATATATGTATATATTAGGACTGTCCAAAATAGCGCGTTATTAACGCGTTAACGCAAATCAATATTAACGCCGTCATTTTTTTTATCGCGCGATAAAAAATAAAAAATAAAAAAAATACATAATTTTTTTTTTTTTTTTTTTTTTTTTTTTTTTAGTTTTTATTGCAGACAAACACATATACAGAAAAAAAAATAGAAACAAAGAAAAGGACTAGTTCCGATACATTGTAGACAGAGATTACAAACAATATGTAGTTGGAGATACAGGGGGCCAAAGAAGAAACCCAGAAGGGCACATAGGAGGGGAGGGGGGGGCATGAAGTGGGAGATGGGGGGAGGGGTTAATAAAAAAGGCAATACAAGCAAACAGTATACAGTCATAGATATACCGAAGGTAAACAGAGAAACAGCATAGAGTATTTACATGAACAAATTTACAAAATATTTACAGATTGTTTATCATCATCATAATGACACCATGATGTTTCTATACAGTCTATGGTCTATACCCACACATACACACACACCCACACACACACATTGAAGGGGCTTTTTGTTACCAATTATTTATTTTGTCATCCATTTATTGATGATTTTGCATCAAATGTTAGTGTGTAATATAACACTACACATTGTTTTCAATAAAAAAAGCAATTGCACACAGCACGCAAATGTGTGACTAATTTGCGATTAATCGCGAGTTAACTATGAAATTCATGCGATTAATCGCGATTAAATATTTTAATCGTTGGACAGCACTAGTATATATATATGTATATGTATATGTATAATATATATTGTACATATATACATATACATATATACATATATACATATACGTATATGTATATGTATATATATATATATGTATATATGTATATGTATATATACATATACATATATATATGTATATTTATTACACATATATGTATGTATACACAGTCTATTTCAGATAAGTTAATTGTTGGAGCCCTATTCTTACCCGTGCTCAATACTCTACCTCTCTGCTAGTAGTCTGTAACCAGACTGAAAACTCAGCCATGATAAAACGCCATACCCTCCTCTTACAGGATCCTGAGTTATATGAGGATCTAGAAGACAAAACCTCCGTTAGCAATGAAGTAGAGATGGAGTCAGAAGAGCTGATTGCAGAGAGGAGGAGGAAGATGGTAAGTTTACCAAGCTAGGTCCTGTGGCTTTTTGCCTGAAAACATGCTGCTAAAAGGGGCAACGTATAAAACCCAGCTGTCCTGTTTCTGAGTCTAGCCTCAGATGTTTGTCTGCTCAAAGAGCTTTGGCTTGGCAGTATCAGCTGTCCTCTTTCAACTATAAACTAACTCTATATTAATTACTTCGCTCTATTTTTCCTTTTAACTAGCAGCTAAAGTGTTGCTCAAACAGCTGATCTTGATTGCTTTGCCTTCCCTTTTATGTCCTCCTGTAAAATCTTAACAACTGTGGTATATCTTTTGTACATAAACAACGATTATGTGATTTGGGCAGAGATTTGTCTTGCATAAATTACATGAAAGATTCTGATGAGTTGGTACACTGAACAAAAAAGCCAGATTCTTATTTTCTTTCTTGTATATTAATACATCTAGACAGTATGAATTTCAGTAGTGGGAGCCTAATGTTTTGAAATTTAATCTGAAAAATAAGGGATGAGCACCATCATACATGCCATATCCGAAATCCAGTATTCATCTGACAAGCATTCAGTGAGATATGCAAGCCACAGACAGACACTCAGGCGCTCCGTGCATTATAGATAGATGCTCACATCCATTATTGATTGTGTACAGTATTCTTGGATGGTTCTGAAGTAAGTTCTAATTAGTTAACCTTCTTTTTGAACCTGCAATCAACCTTTAACCCCATAGTCATTTATTTTACATACATTTCTTTGCCATTTATTTTAAGTTACAGTGTGTTTTGACTGTCATTACACATTTAATGCTAATCACTGTATGCAGGTTCTTTATTTAAATTATTTGCACAAATTCTTTGCAGACCCGTGAGGAGAGAAAGATGGAGGCAATTCTGCAAGCGTTTGCCCGAATGGAAAAAAGGGAAAAGCGGCGGGAGCAAGCCCTGGAGAGGATTGGTACTGGTAAGCCGGATGGTACTGGTCTTATCAAAGAGGAGCCCCCAGCGACACCCGAAATGGCTGATTCTCCATCGGTTGCACAGGTGCTTAAGAGACATTCACTTAATGCTGAATTCATAACCGTGTATTTTTAACACATTCTTCTCTTGCAGCCACTCCTTGAGGTGAAGGAAGAACCAGGATTAAAGCCCGCTAAAGTCAAATCCTCAAGAAACCGGAAAAGCTTGACAAGGAATCGCACACATATCGGTCAACAGCGAAGGCGGGCTCGCACCATCAGTACCTGTTCGGACTTGCCTCCTAGCTCTCCAGCGGAGTCTATAGAACCTCAGATTAATGACGCTCCTGAAGGAGAACTGCCCTGTGCCCCAGAGCCAGAGGTCTTGTCTGTCCTTGCCCCAGATGCCAGCCCTCCTCAAGGCAACTCCCCTGCTCCTGAGAGATGTCGGTCTGGGAGCAGGAGCTTTAAGACAAAAAAGGTACAACTCAAACCTATTTTTACTACAAACAGTTGGTGTTCGTAAGCTGACGTACATCTGTATACTTCTCGTATCCTCAACAGCACTTTGTGAGCGAGTGGGTGGGAGAAAAGCTGCAGGATAGAGCTGGAGTGCGGACACCAGAGCCTGCGCCCCTAAGACCACTAAGAATAAGCAGTGACCCAGAAGTATTAGCCACACAACTGAACGCTTTGCCGGGCATGGCCTGCTCGCAACAGGTCTATAGCACCCCTAAACACTATGTGCGCTTCTCTTCTCCATTCCTGGTCAATCGCAGTCCCACTACTCCAGGTGTCCCCACTGGAAGGCGGCGCTCGAGAGAGATGCCAGAAACTCCACCAACCTCTGGTTCTTGTAAAAAGGTATTGTCTAATTATACTAATGTACTTCCAGAATATATTTTTAATATTGTATAATAACTTTTTCATTTGTAGCGATGGTTGAAACAAGCTTTAGAAGAGGAGTGCTCTCCGAGCCCTGTTAGAAGACCCGGTCTAGTTATGCCCAGTGAGGGGCCTCTCAGCCCTTCAATCAATGGGGACTCGGATAGCCCTCTACCTTGCAATGGCAGTTGCTTGCTTCCAGGTATTGATTATATTTTTGTATTTTATCACCCATGGATCCAGGCTGTGCAAAAATATATATATATATTTTTTCCCCCCAGAGTTGCCTACACCTTTAAAAAAGCGGCGGTTAAATCCATTAGATGCCTGTTTGTCCGAGGGCTCCACTCCCTATGGCTCCCCATGTGCCACACCCACTCGGACAGAACAATCAGAAGCCCCAACCACACCTGTTTTCATGGCAACCCCACCACGCACTAAAACTGAGGAGCCCAGTATAGAGCCTCTGCTTAGCACCCCGATACAGACAGCTGACGCTCCGCCTGAGGTAAGCGCAAGCAAATTTGATGATGCTAGACATGCTGACAACCCGTTGATAATTATTCTTTATTTACAGAGTGAATCGTCTGTTGAAAGCTCTCCAGAAATCAGTAAGAAACCCTGCACTCAGGAGGTAAAAGTCAAATCACCAAAAGTACACATATTGTTGAGTGTTCTCTCATACCAGGTTCTGTCTTTTAGATACTAATACCTCAATTTTATTTCAGCCGGAACAAGCTCCTTCGTTGACATCATCTCCATGCATCGGGCCGTCCTCCGACAGTCTAATAGATGAGATCAAGCCCTCGGCTCCCGAGAGTCCACAGCCTTCAGCACCTGAGAATGTTGACAGTGGAGAAGAAATGGACAGTGGTGCTTTAGAAGCTGACTCTGAAGTGTCCTCGACGGCTGAACCAAGCGCTGCTACATTTCCTGGATGGATAAAAAGTCCAGAAAGGAGCACAAGTGGAACGGCTGGCCTTAACTTCTCCCCCATTAACTCAAACTTACGGGACCTTACCCCCTCTCACACGCTGGAGCCTTTAGGAGCTCCCTTCCGACTCGAGGCAAGCCCATCTGCTGGCTCACTGGTTGGCCCTCCAAACACCTTCAGTGAAGGTCAAGGGGTGCTCTTTTATCCCTGCTCTGAGGATGCGTCCTCTCAGAGCCTTGCTCGTTCACTCAGTGGTGATAGTTCTGGGGAAGGTGGATCTGCACAAAACCCCCCACAAAAGAAAAAGGCAAGCTTCAAACTAAACAAGATGGATGTAAAACATAGTCTCAGGTTTCTCAATAATGTGTATCGTCTTTCAGGTTTCTCTCCTGGAATACCGAAAGCGGCAGCGGGAAGCTCGTCGAAGTGGCTCCAAGACTGAGTGTAGTTCACCGATTTCCATAGTGGCACCTCTGACCATTGATGCCTTCTCTGTAGCTATGGAGATGACCAGTGAGCCCCCTCCACCGCCGCCACCCGCACCCCCCTGTACAAATACTATCACTGTAAAAGAGCCCCCGACATCCGAGGACACGGAAACGCAAGGCGACAAAGAGGGCGGCGAGAAAGTGGATGAAGAGGGCCAATGGTAAATCAATTTATATACAACTAAACTTTACATTTACTTAAAGCATTTCAAGCAATAAACATGCATTTATTTCTCAAGGACATCTGCAACATCAGTGGAACAAGCTCGTGAGCGCAGTTACCACAGAGTTCTTCTACTCAGCAAAGACTCAGGTGTTTATAAAGTAAACTTTTTTTTAATGTTTAATATTAGTTTCGATTTGACACTTTTGTAAATATTACAGAAGATGCTGAAAATGAAGAATGCGAAGCGCCTGTCACCAGTGATAGTCCCTCTCCAGCTTTTCAGAAGACCCCGACTGTTTCAGTAAATAACTTTCTTGACTTCCCTTACAGCTCATGTCAACTGTGTGTGACCTGGTGTTTATGTGTGCAGCCCTGTTCACCCGGCGCATCGAGTCGATCCATGAAGGAAGATGACTGCGACAGTCAACCCAGAACACCAAATGCAGCATCATTGAATAAGTCCGTCACCCCGAAGCCCACCCCTCTGACGCCAACAAAGATTCATACTTCACCATTACCATCTTCTCCAGTCAATTACCCTGGACCCTCCCTTCTCCTCTCCCCAAAACCCCCATCGCAGACTGCACCGTTTCGCAGCCAAAGGGCATTGTTTCCAGCCCAGCCTCAAAACCAGACTTTTACTAACGCTCAGAGCACACTGCCGCCTCCACCCCCTCCCCCACCCGCTCCATCCACCTCCACTTCCTACTTCCCCAACCAGAGTCCTTCTCCTGTCGGTTCCTTCGCTGCATTTAAACCCACAGTTGCTTCCCCGTTCCCCCCTGGTTCTCAGACTCTGCTGCAGCCCTTGCCTCACGGCGTGCACTATCAGGGCTCTGCTGCTCCCCCACCTCCCCCTCCTCCTCCCCCACCACACCCTGGTCTGTTACACGTCAACCTGCAGCAGCACCAGCTGATGCTGAGCAGTGCACCTCCACCTCCGCCTCCACCACAGGGACAGAAGCCCCCTCAGCAGGCTCCTCCTGCGGCCGGCAATCTGCTGTCTTTGACTCCCCCTCCGCCGCCTCCCCCTCCGCCCCCCTCCAACACCATGCAGAACCACCACTTTCAGAGTTTAGGAGGCTTTCAGGCCATACCACCGACCACCTACCCCACGCCCCTGCAGCAGAGTGAGTTACCTCCACCGCCGCCGCCCCCACCTCAACAGACCCCACAGACCACAGCTGCACCTCGAGGGCCCCCTGCCACAGCGGCGCCGCCCTTCCACACATCAAGTTACCTGAGCACCGGGTGGCACTGACCGCTGCTGTTGACCCTCCCAGCCCCTGAGAAAACGGGGTCTGGCAGGAGAGTGTAAGTGTGTCACATGGCCAGTGGAAATACTGATGATTGTGGAAGAAAAGGGTACTTTTTTAACAAAATGTATGTGAACAGAAAACAGAAAAAAAACTGTAACACAATCTTCTACAGACTGTATCGAAATGAAGATTGACAACCCCGGTGCTCTTAGCCCCTCTCTGGCCTCATTTTGTTTTATACAGTTTCCAGTGATGGAAAGGTTGAGCTCTTGTTCTGTCTTGTTTGGACCCCGTTGAAAGACCTGCACTTTGTTTATCTACGGACATTCCAGCCGAAAAACCCTCCAGTGTCCCTTCTGTTATTCCTTTGCCTTCCTTATGTCTTGTCCGTTGTCAACTTCACACATTTATTTGATTCTATGTATTGGTTCAATATAGCGAAGAGAAAGCTTTTTGTATAGAGAAAAACACAATTATTTTTTTTATTCCTGTCTAACAAATGTCTGTTCACCGCTTCAGATACAGAAAAGACCCATTTTGGGAGCCTGCCTCACGCCTCCGGAGGCTGCACCTGGGTGTTTGTATTTGTGTGTACAGATTTGTGCACTGTGTGTATGACTCGCTGGAAAGAGTGTATGAAATGAGTGCTTGTGGTCTTCTGAGGTGGGCCGAGGGGACTTGCCACAGGTAGGAAGTTAGCGGTTTATTTTTGAATATCAATGGTTATTTGTAGAAAGTGTAATTTAATGTATAGGTGGTTACTCCAGCTTTCACCAGGAACAGATTGTAAATATTTGCTTCTTTTCTTTTCTATGCTTGTACATTTTGCCTCCATCCCATTTTGAAATATGGTTGTAAATATAAACGCTCTCTTGGCAAAGCTGAATGTTTCTGTGACTGTAGCATTATTTTTTTATTTTCCGCTTCAGACTCTTCAACTTTGTCTTTTTTATGATTTGGGTGTGTGAGTGTATATGTTTGCGTGGAGGAGAAAGACTCAGACACTGCACTGGTTGGTTATTTTCATGGTTCATTATAATAAATGACTGTAATGACTTTTATACCACTGTCTTGACATACGTCTCTGGGGCCTCTTTGTCGCGTCACCTAAATTTTCTTAGCAATAAGTGTTCTCCTGCTGATGGAATCGGCATCATTTAAGGCGGGGGTTCACAACTCTGACACCACAAAGGAGAACTAGTATAATATATCCATGAAAGTAGTTCCTTGCTCTATGAAATGTTTGATCCCAGCCCTAGTTTTTATGTATTCTTGCCTCAAGTCACATCTTTTTAGCAGCATATTCAGTGAAAGGACCAGCTCTCACTCAGCCAATTAGCTCTCAGTATGTTAAAGATAAAATGAATCCTAAGAGAGATAAGATTCTAAGACAGCTTATTGTAGAAGACTTACTATATGTATCCCAGTTTTAAAATAGTCATAAGTGGTAAAAAGATAAGTAGGCACCATTGACCATTTTTGTAATGATTTTACTATAACATTTTCCTGTTACCCATAAATGGACATTTCATTTTTGTTTGTTGGACACATGTTTCAAAATGTATCATAAATACTACCAACGTTAAATCCTAACCAAATCTTAACACAGTGAACAAAGAGAAGATTTGTCCCAGATTAAAGGGCTTTGTGAATTCCAACAGTTTCACACTCCTATCACGCGTCCAGCCACTATTTGTTGACATGGGTGAATCGGAGCTGTGTGCCTGGCCCTGGTTTGGGGCAGACGGGCTGCCTTGGAGCCTTCATCCACTGGGTCCTGCTCCATCTTTCCAGTGAGTACAACACTCGTACTATACTAGTGACATATACAATCTGTCACTTGCAAGTTAAAAAGATCCTTTACAAAGTTCCAAAGAGGCAGTTTAATTTTCAAATCTCTTTTAATTCTCACATATTGTATATAAATCTTTTACACACTTTCTGTTATCACTGTGTCATACTTAAGACAAGACAAAAGTGAGACATTTTGGTCACTGCATGGCGTTAATGAGTAGAAATAGTTAAAGTATGTACAAAAAGCCCTGTATTAATCATTTTTTCACATCTGGAAAAACCCCAATAGTCCCCTGGCATATAAAAGGATCAACACATACAGATGGTAGAATGTGATGACATTGTGAGTGAATGTAAAGACTTGATGCGTTCAGTTGTGTGATGATGTTGCCGACCAGACAGTTTGACATGTAATAGCTTGTCCTTTAGTCTGACTGTTAGAAACATAGAATGAACAAAATACTGTATGGCACACTACACTTGATATGAACAATTAAGATGACATTTTCAAAATGTACATTTCAAATCAAGAGTAAAACCAAAAGTACAATATCCAATCAATCTTTATATATTTTTTTCCCATCATTACTAACATATACTAAACGAGAATCGCGCTCTTGTCTGTTTTCAGCATCACAGGCCGAACACCCCAAAGGTTGTTTTGCAGTGAATAAAGGTCAAACACAAAACTGCTTCCTGGGCACTGATTGAAGATAAAAAGCGAGTTGACAGCTGTAACCCCAAGTCATGGTGAAGTCCTTTTTTGTGTCAAACACTGTTTTGACGTTATTCGATTTAAATGGTTGTTGCTCTTGTGTTGTTTCCCATTCAACAAGTGTCCTGGAGCAACTGAACAGATCCTCAGCCTCATTAAAGGTTCAAGTGACAAATGGATGGAGATTGAAGTCAGTTTTGATGACCCACATGTTCTACATGTAACTATAGTGTTTTACTAAAAGTAATTCACCAATAAATCTCCTTTTTAATTCTTATTTTATGTTTGAAATTGGGACCAGGAAAGATATCATCAAGTTGCATCACTCTTTGAAGCAAGTCCTGAAAGGTAAAGATCCACAAGTCCATCAAACATAGTGACAAACATAATTAGTGCCATATATTTGTATCACAATATTGTTTTAGAAAAACACATTCATGTATGTGAGACATTTCTGTAAGTATAAACTTTGATAGTGGCGTCAACGACTCACACATTACAAATGTTTTCGCTCCACAGATTGACACAGGCCTATTCAGTAACTATAGTGCCAATGTATTTCATTACTACAAAAAGTGTTTCAGATACTTCTGTTACTGAAACACTGCAAATAGTAAATCAAATGTCATTTATGCATGAATTTCACCACTTCAAACCAAGTGCTGCGCATAATGCATTACATAACTCATCCTAAAAAAACTGATGAATATTTATTGGATCTGTTGCTCTACTGGAGCCCACTCTCTAAAGCCCTCTTCAGCATTCAATCTGCTGCTTCCTTTGCTTTAATAAAGCCGATTATGTTTATTTTAATGATCCAAAAACAAAGGATGACATTCAATCTCTCAACACTTGAGATTCTAGTATTATTATTCATTCATTCCAAGTGGGGGTCAATGGCATGGGCATTTGTTGAGTGTTGTTTGTCTGCTGCTTCCTGCTGCTTAAAGTAAGCAGCAAGTGTTAAACGTTACCTTTTTTAATCTCCAGCGTATGCAGACTTCATATCGCATTATTCCCCGCCTCTAGAAAAAGAACAAAATGGTGTGATAATATCAGCAGCAGAAGGTAGTACAGAAAAGTCAACAAACTGCATTAAACATACAGCATTTGCATTGTTACAACATGTTTACACTTTCTTACCAGCAGATGGCAGCATTAGCACACCATATGAATGCCATGTCCCAGGCTGCTGGAGTAGAAACGTGTAGGGCATTTCTGATAAATTATCTTTATCTCATCATGGACTCCTCAGTGTCCATGATGCATTTATGTATTAGGATCTCTGCATATGGCTTCAGTCTGTGCAACTGACGACAATGTGTCCTGCCAAATACTATGATTCATTTCCACGACTGCCAGAAAGCTGTGTAAACCACCATTAGTAATTCATGTCCCTGCCTACAGAAGCAGCAGTCATCACTCTACCGGTAATATTGGTGCATTATCACATTTTATTGTTTGACATCTATCCTATTTCTCTATCCCAGCACTTTGTTCACTCCAATTTCAAAACACTGATGATAATAATAAGCGCAGACACTAAATGGGTAAATACTGTGTAATGTATGCAAATGAAGTGTAGCGAAAGGGAGGAATTATACAAATATGTCTTCAAGAAAAAAGAGATATTAATGTTGTTACAGTGATTGGGTAGAGGCAATAGCTGATGTCTTTTGATCTACCCAATCAATAAGTCGATCTCCAAGGGAACCGGGTGTAATTTCGCATTGCTATTTTAAGTTTTCGTTATTTATTGGTTGAATTAAACTAATGCTTATAGTGTGCACAAGAGTCATAGGAACCTTTTCTCCTTCAATGTGCACTACAATAAAAAGATTACAGAGATAGAATTTGTAATCATTATCGTATATATTTTCCACAGCCACATTTATTGTTTAAATGCATTGATCCTGCCAGAAAGAGCAATCTTTGCACCTTGTGGACTTGTTGAGATAAGAACTGTCCCATCAATCTCGTTCTTGGGTAGTGGTGCAATAGAATATATAAACATTTGATGGTTGCAAGAACGCAGGAGCTGATTGTTGGGTTTACACACATGTACTTACTGTCTCCCAGCAGCTCCTCAGACATCAGGCCGTCTTGGCGGTTCCCCAGCACGAAGGCGAGGAAGGACAGAATGAGTGCGTCCATGATGCCCATAATGGCCAGGATGTAGGCCCAGCGCATGGAGCAGGCCCCCAGGCTGTACTTGTCTGTCTGCTCCCCACACATGCGCTTCACCTCGTCACTGTCCCAGCCGTCCGGGTAGATCATGCAGCCCAGGATCAGACACGTACCTGCGCAGAAATGAGAGTGGTCTTCAAGCAGGCGAAAGGATAATCTCAATGAAACATACAACAAACAATTCTGCAAAGTGGGATGGTCATATACTTAGACTTTATTGATCCACAAGGGAAATTGCGTTGTCACAGTAGCATACCTGGCATTCCACATAAAAATAACAATAAAGTAACAGCCTAAGAATAAGAATTAGATACTATTGTGAGAATAGAATAATCTGGATATAGGTACTGAGGAATAAACATCTGTGAATATGTACACATTTACAGTTTAAAATACACAGATTATAGGATACTACACATCTGTAAATACACAATACTTGCAACATAATGTGCAAGGTGGATAGGGTGCCTTGCTCAAGGACACGAGCAGTGACTGAACCATTATTCCCAAAATTATGTTTTGTTTAAAGTATTGTTCAAGTTAATTTCAGGCCAATTTGTGGGAAATTACAGAAGCGTCGTCTTTATGTGATCAGGAATGCCACATTGATTTGATTTATCTTTAATTTTTCTATTCGGCAAATGTGTACAATAGATTTCAGTTTACCCAGCGCAAACTACCAACTGGAACGGCAGCAGTGCAATAATTAAAAAAAAAAATCACTCATCTCTACATCCTCGTATGTAGCAGAGTTCAGAGTTGGTCAGAAGTAATTTGATTGATCAAAACAGTAGGAAACAATACAGACTGACAAACAAGAATGTGAGTGTAATTTTGCGTGACAGAGCACATCAGCGGAATGGAAGAACCAAACGTCTTTATGAGCCAAAGAGGCTGTGGTTAAAGATTATCACAGAGAAAAACGGCTGACGGAGCAGAGAAGCAAAACCACTGAAGCGGCATTGAGAGCCACCGGAAAAGCTCTTCATCGTAAAGATCCCATTAAGACGGGCAAGGTTGTTCGTAGAGCACAATTCATACACAAGACCTCACCCTGATCCGGAGCTTTAAGGAAACATTAACAATAACAAACTACACAAAACATCTCAGCCCTAATATATACAAATGTATGCTGATAAAATCGTAACAGAAATGTTTTCAACCTGGATTTGAACGTTTTGCCAAAGTCTGAAATGCCTTTTTTGAAAGATGGTTAAAAGCAGCAGATGTTACTTGATGTGGCTGTTTATCAATGTCAAAGTCCATAAACCCCTAGATTTCTGACCTGATCTGAAGGGTTTTGGGTGAGAGACTGAGAGGGCTTTTGTTTTTGACTCACTGATCTGTTGGATACACTGACTGAGAACCAATCCACGACAAACAACCCAAATATTTTTTTCATTCGATATTTCACCAAAAGGCCAAAACTGCAGATAAAATTGATTGCAATAAGTTTCCTCCACAATTAGTTTCCTTCCCTCTGTGAGTAGAGCCACTGCTTTGGATGCCTCCTGGACGCCACTCTGGGGAGGTGCTCTGGGCATGTCCCATCGGGAGGAGGCCCCAGAGAAGACCCAGGACACGATGAAGGGACTATGTCTCTCAGCTGGCCAGTCTCTCAGTATTCTCCCACATGAGGAGGAGGAAGTGGGCATGGATAGGGATATTTGGGCGTCTCTGCTCAAATCAGAATAAAATTGTACACTACAAGAATTGTACTTGTTTAGCATTTTCAAAAGGCCTGTTAAATCCTTTTGACAGCGTTTACATTTGTTGTGCTCCACTGCTCTCAGTGCCCGGGTGTACACCAGCCCGCTCCTCAGGCTTATGCTCTTGTATTTTTAACCACACGAGTCTCTGTGGCACATTTCCTGCTGAGCTGGAGTGGAAGAGAGATGGAGGTGATCAAAGAGTCAGCTTGTTTCCTCTGTTCTCATATGAATTCATTTTTTCAGATTTGTAGAATATAAGCAGGATGCAACAAAATTATCATCAAAATTATGTTCATAAGTAAAATACCATCGTAGCCTGTCACCACCATATTTCAAACTGAGGAGCCGTGTGAGTTTTGCTTCTTAAATAAAGTTTTGCATAAGGAAAAGTTCTGTTTGCTATCTCCAACTCGTCCAAAGTGTATGACTGACATTTGGCTTGAGGTGAGCTGCTATGTCTGCAGCTGGTCCTGAGTCATCCTGGGGCAGATATGGTTGTATTCAAGATCAGCTTGTTAGTTTACGTAAAAATTCTCTTTCCATTTCAGAATGATAGATTAAACAGTGCTCTGAGAGATGCAAACCTTTTCTAGAGCCTAGTGCTGCTTTAATCTTCTCCTCTTCACCTCTCTGGGGTGCTCCGTGGACTTCAGGATGTTGATTAGAGACAAACACACACCAAACATAACTCTGTATTTATATTGAGAGTAGATTACACTCGGGTGTCCATTTAATCATAGGGCAAAGTCATGAGGACATGTAAACGCTATATGAAGTTATTTTCACTTCCCAGTTACATTGTAGTGGGAAAAACAATCTAACACCTAAAGTGTGGTTGAACTTTGACTAACTTAAGTTAAAACATACATTGGATTTGTACGTGTTTTTTTTTTTTTAACTCATGGGTTTTATTACTGATTAGCAGTAATACAAAGATCCTCCTCAACCTGGCAACATTTAAACAGTGCCTTCCTTCTCTGCACTTCAGCTTGTGCTGCAACCCTCCTCCTTTTTTCACATTCAAAATAAAGTTATGTCAAACATTTCCCTAAAATTCAACACCCGAGCTATAAGGTACATATGAAGTCTTTACGGCTGTTGCTGATTGAATTCATTCAGACATTTGGGACAGGAAGGAGGAACAGATCAATTACTGAGTCTCGCTCTCTGCCTACTCCCCCAGGACTCTTTAGGCCGCCACATTTGTCTGACTGTCGCAGCCACGCACACTTTTGTAATTCAGGGAAAACGCAGGGTTGACTGTTCTGTTAATATCCTCATCCATCACATGCATTTTCCACACAAATACTGAAACGAGAATGTGTTCCACCTGGCAAATAATTAAATCAACTAAAAAACATCACAGATTTTATTTATTGTAACTCCACCTTGTTATGCAGTGGCTTATTTACAGGACACCGATGCTGCATGCATAAGAAAGGCATTCTGTTAAATATGAAATTTTAGGGAGATTTGAATCTTTCATAATTTGACACCCATTGATAGGAAAGGACACTTTTTACAATGAAAGGAATTCACAAACTATGTTTTTAGAGTATTTGATTTTACTTCTAAATCAAATAGTATGCCCTTAGTGGTCAAATGAAGTCTTTATAATTATGATCCCACTTTTCTTGTAGAATCTGACAGCCAGTTACAAATGTTGCTTCTAAACACTGTTTACTAATGCAATCCACCTGTTGGGGTTGATCTAAAAACTGCACAAACTGTTACAAAAATAAGTAGTCATGTAACTGCTTTGATGTAAACAAATGTATGGTGCTATTTTTAGTTTGTGACCAGCTGCATTTCACCATCAAACCTGGCAACCCAAATGAGATGAGCAACATATAGAAAAATCAACAACTGTCACACAAAACACTGAATGGAGAAAGGGGTAGGAGTTTATAAGTCCCCACTTCTTCCTACTCCTTTTTGAGCACTTTCAAGCACTCAGCACTGATGTATGTGCTTATTTGTTACAACATTATTCTGTATATATGTATGTAACATGTTCATACTTAGATTGCTCAAATAAATAAAATAAAATAAACTAAACTAAACTAAACTAGACCCATTCTGATTGAACATGTATGTCCATTGCACTTTTATTTATGAAGCACTTCACTGTAAATTTGTGTTCAAATATGATTGGAACATACTGACCTGTTATCTGTGGACACATCTAAAGGATGTTGACCGTGCATTTCTAAAATCATAGTCGGTATTCATGCTCTGTTGAACAAAGGACAGGGTTCAGGTGTTGCAAATGTATTGTATGGTACTCGTATGGTACGCCCTGTGGGGACTGAGGTAACAGGACTTACCATCAGAATGTAATCAGTTAATTGGGGCAGAATGGGCATATGCAGAGGGCAACAAGAGTGAGATGAAACCTGAACTCGTGGTGGAGTCCAAATGCACCTGCCTCTCTTCCTGCAGCACACTTTACAAAACTAAAATACCATATTAATAATCCCGTCTTTTTTAATGCGTTTCCCGGGAGCTGTCCGGTCACTGTGGTGCTGGAATCTTTTCTTCCAACAGCTCTGACTATTATTTATCAGTCTCTTGAGAGGTGAAAGCCATAGAGGTCACTCACATGCAGTCACTTTGTATTCACGCCATCTGCATCGCTACATGATTTGCATTCTACTATATTCCCTCGTATCTCTTACAATAACTAGCTCTTGTGAAACAAAAATAGACAGAACAAGAAAAAAAGATGTGGGTGTGGAGAGCACAATGGGATGTCTGAGCAAAGCAATTCAAATTTGAGTGAGACATGTGAATCTGACGAGCACAAACTATTAATAGACCTAGTCATGCGTCTGCTATAATAATGTGTTATACACTTTGAGTTTGTTTAAAATAGATGTTTAAACCAACTCAAATAAAAATTTCTCATAAACTATGTGTGATGCATTTACTTAGCCTAACACTGCTTATATGGGGAGGTAGCTTCCACTAGGAGAGCCCCATAAAATTGATTGAAGATCAGATTTACAATCTAATCAACACGAGGTGCCAAGTGTGGGAACACAGGCCAAACACAAGTCGAAGACTTACGGTTATACTCCAGCCAGAAATACAGCTGACCTCAGTGGAAGGTTGTCCTCACTTTTATTTAAACTTAAATCGTCTCCACAGGGGCTAAAGTGGTTCAGCTTTGAAGTCAGTGTGAAATAGACTCCGAGTGTGTACTTATATAAGCTCAAACCCCGAGTGTGGGGATTTCAAAGATAAATGTGCCGAAAGGGCTTATTATTGCTCATCTATATATAATTCTGCAAATTATATATAGATGATATTCTATATGTGGAAATGAAAATCAATTGGAAGAGAATTAATAGAAAAACCTAATATTTACTGGAATTATCATAATCACAATTAGTTGTATT